GTCTCACAGTCGGGCGGCCTGACGAAGACTTCCTTCGTCCCTCCATACAGCGCATGAACAGAAAGCGGCACTCATCAACCGTCAGAAAGTAGGCCCGTAACTACAGATCATAGACGAGGAAGCATAACGCTCTGTGTGGAACATGTTTGGTACATTGGCGTTCATTGTCGCTCGATTTAGTTCATATAGGTGTCGAATACATTTCCCTTTCATTGCCCTGGTTATTTCACACCTTCTAGAAGCCAAACAAGTCCTTATCCTCTTCATACCCCCATTCCTTCATCGCCGGCAGCACTGCCTTCTGCATCATCACTGGCGGCCCGCACACAAACGTCGCCGCCCCCTCACCCGGCGCAAACAAGTTGTCCTTGAGAATCTCCCCCGTCACGTATCCCGTCAACCCCTTCCATGCGTCGCTAGGTCGGCTGAGCACGTGCACGACCTTCAACTGTCCCTTGCTCTTCTTGACGAGTTCCTCCATCTCCTCCCTCAGCAGAATGTCAGCCTCGGTGTTGTTGGCGTCCACGACCCGGATCTCCGTCTCGTCATCGCCAGACATGATGACGCGCGAGAGGAGGGAGAACCCAGGTGTCACACCCGATCCGCCGAGAACAAGAGACACACGTCGATACTTGCGCTCCTCGCCGTCGATGAGGAACGTGCCATTCCCAAGGTAGACAATCTCGCCCGTCGGTCCGCGAATCTCAACCTCCTCGCCAAGTGGCATGCAGTCAAGGATGTTCGACATGGCGCCACCGGGCTGCTGGTCCGTCGGGAAGTACGTCTTGACCACCAACTCAAACGTGCCGTCGCCGTCGCGAAGATCGTGATGCTGCTCGTTGATGGCCTTGCTGCGCTCTTCGGCCCCCTTGCCGTTGGGGATGCCATTCTGTGACGGGCTGGGGAGCCGGTCTGGCGTGTCATTTAGCGCAGGCAGGATCGGCCGTGTCGGCGTGTACGACCGAACGAGCATCTTGTCCTTGAGGTGGAAGCCGATGAGGATGTGCTGGCATGTACCGAGGCCGAGAATCGCCTTGTGGTCGGGCAGCTGGAACGTGTAGGCGCGCGTGTCCTCGGAGATGGCCTTGCGGGCGATGAGCTTGGTCGGCACCCAGCGGTGTTTCTGCAGCGTCGCCTTGTTGTCGTCTTTGGACTTGGCCTTCTCGACAGCCTGCTTTTTGGCGTTCTCCTTGATGAAGTTGGCCGCCTTGTCGGTGACGGTGCCTAAAAGGCATTCTGGGTCGGTCAGCATGGGCTCTGAGGCTTCATCACGAACATGAACGCACCTTTCAGCTTCTCATAGGCAAAGCCGTCATGGATGCTGCCAAATTCCTCCGTCGTCTCTGCATGTACCCGGCCAGCATGCACCATGATCGGCGCCTTGCCACCCGGGTGCCAGGACATGACCGACGTTGCGTCGTACACCTTGCCGTCGACGACGATCCAGCAGTCGTCCTCGGAATCGTGCTTCTCAATCTCCTCACGTGTGAACTGCTTCTGCGGCGTCCCGGCCTCGCGCTTCGCCAGCTCGATCTGGTTGACGACACTCGGCTGCATCCACCCGCCGTCACCGTTGGCCGGCTCGGTCGGGTGTCGGAAGAGCACGTACGCGCCGTCCGTCTCGTCGTCCGGCGCAATCTCCGACTTGACGGTGTACCAGCAATTGTTCATCATGCCCTTGAGGTTCCAAGCCGGGTCCCGTGGCTGCGAGTTCTTAAAGACGTTCCAGCACTTGACGATGATGCTCCGCGCCTGCACCATGCGATGCAGCGGCACGTCGACGTGCCAGTGGCACCATGTCCAGAACTTCTTGCCGTGGCGGATCGGCAGGTCAGGGAACTTGCGGATGCAGTAGAGCCAGGTTTCGCCGTCGTCGAGCGAGACTTCGACGCGCTGCACCTCGTGGCCGCCGCCGTCGTAGGCGAACCCCTGGATTCGATACTCGGTCCCTTTTCCTTTGCCGGCGTCCTTGAGCAGAATCTTCTCGCCCTGCTGAGGGTGCACGATGACCGAGTTGAGGTTCTGCTCCATGCAGGCCGTGCCGGGATGGCGGAACATGGTCTCGGCAAAGGGGCTCTCGTTGTCCGTGACAAAGGACGGCAGCACGCGGTTGTCCCAGATGTGGTAGTACGAGTCGTTCTCCTTCTCGGAAATCCAGACCCGCTTGAGCCACTTGACGCACCGCCCGCCGACGTGGCCCGGAATGATGACCCGCACAGGGTAGCCGTGATCCGGCGGCAGCGGGAGGTCGTTCATCTCGTAGGCCAGCATGACGTCGTTGCGCGGATCCATAGCGTACGCCAACGGGATGCAGGTCGCGTACTTGCCGGCGCTGAGGTCCTCCGAGCCCTCAAAGTTGACCCAGCGCCGCGGGCCGTCGTTGCCGAGATCGTCTGGCACGCCGGCCGCGAGCAGCACGTCACGCAGCAGGGCGCCCTTCCAGTAGGCGCATCCGCCGCCGCCGGCGCCCCAGTTGAAGCCCTGGGTTCTGCGCATCATGTTCAACTCCTTGCGGCGGTTGCCGTCGCAGGCCATGAAGACGGGAATGTTGATGCTGCGGTAGCCGTGCTTCAGCTCGTCCATCGTCAGCGTGAGCTTGCCGTCGTTGATGTCGACCGTGTGATACTCCCACATCAACCGCGGCACGGCGCCGTGGTTTCGCACATAGTGCAGCTCGTTGGGCGTGATGAGACCGGCGGCCAGCAGGCCTGTGAGGGGCGCCTCGGCGTTGAGGGGGTGCTTCCCCGTCAGTCGGATGAGCTCAGCACTGCGGGGGAACCAGTTGTCGGGCGTGAACTGATCGGCCTCGTCAATGGAGACGTCGCAGCGGTTGTGCTTCTGCGGCGACTCTTGGTTGCCGTCGTTGGTCCTGAGGTTGGCCATGTAGTCCTTCTCATGTTGCAGGGCACGCAGGAGCGCTCGCTCCTCGTCGGTATACTTATCCTCAAGCGTCTCGCCCTCGCCAACGTCGTTTTTCCGCTCATCCTTAAGATCGCCGTGGCTCGTCTTGTCGTCATGCGCAGGTTTTGCGGGCTGGCTGGCGCCATTCTGTTGTGAGTCCTGCCCCTCTTCACTTTTCTTCTTCTTCTCCTCTACCTTTTTCTTCTTCGCCTCGTTGATTGGCCACTTTTGCCCATACTTGACCCAGTCCTCGGTGCAGTCGAGGGCAAAGCGCACACCGACTGCCCGGTCCTGGGGGTGGATGAGACGAAGGTCGTCCTCGCCGTCAATGACATCGCGGAAGTTGATGAGCTCGCCCTTTCGCTTCCTGTCGAGCAGGGCCTCGTACTTCTTCATCGCCTTCTCCCAGTACTTGGGCCCGCCCGGCTCGCCGCTGTAACCCGGGACGCGGCCATCGACGTTCTTGAACCCGACGCGGTGGTTGTGCCCCGCACCCCAGTCGGGCTCGTTCTCGATGGCCTGCTCCGAGGACCCGGGATGGTCCCGCTTCTCCACGACAAAGTGGCTCGTGCCGCCCATGGTGACAATGGCAATGGGATGTGGTAGTGGGCCTTGGATGCTGCTTCGGAGGACCCTCGCAGGAAAGGAAGAGTAGAAACAGAAGAGCACGAGGAGCGAGGCACGAAGTTGTAGCTGACGGGGAGAAAGGTCAGACCATAAGGTTTCGAGAGCACCAGTGATGACGTCTTGTGGCTGGTTGCCGGATTCTCCCTTAGATCGTGGGCGGCGCCGCACAAGGGAGGCCGGCGCGGTGGGTCGTTGCCGACGTCTCCGCGGCTAACGTTGCCGCATGCGGGGTCCCGGCTCGCAATTGGTTCTCCCCGGACAAGTTGGTGGTGCCATGGCTGCATAAGAGCATAACCTAAACATCTGATTGGGATCGGTGGTCCAATGGGCTGATGTGCATTTGCATGGCGTTTTTGCTTCTGGCATAGAAAGTGTGGAGGGTCATGGATGATCTGATCTTGGGGGCAGACGCAGCTCGGTTTGATTTCTGGGTGGCTGGTCATTCGCGCCATGAAACGAGGGTCCATGATCCAGAATGATCGTGAGACTCGCCTTTTTGTGCCGTGGCCTGACTCGCGGGCCATGATTCAAGCTTTGTGGGCTTCTCATTGACGACCTCCTCTGCATCGTTTCAAATGGACCAGATTCTCGAAGGCTTCAACCTCCCCGCCAACTTGTCCCACAGTCAACAGTGCCTTGAGACTGTCATGGTCAGGTGCGCCAAGCATCGCATTACAAGGGCAATCCATAAACAGAGAGAGATTTCTTTGCGCGAAATTCCATTTCATTTTGGTATACTCAATTATGCCAATATTGATCAAGTTGGCCGTCAGGACACATCCATTTGCTGACGTTGGAAAATGTTCTCCCTCTTGGCAACTTCAGGCTACCAATATTCACACCAGACGCCCGCCCGCGTTCCCTTATTCGGGCCGCAGTTCAAGAGACAGTCAGGCAGTGAGACATGTCAGCTATGGAAGCCCTTGCTCAAGGAAAGACATCTGTAATTACTATCCAACGGTCATGGCCTTGCTGCGTACAGTGTCTCACGACCCTAACGTTCGTGCTTCGAATTGCCTTAAGGTTTCCCGTGAACCCTCACACGACTCGAGTGATGTATCGCGCCATCAACATCTTGGCTGACGAAGGCGCAATCGACTCCGAGGGTCAGCAGTGTTGAAACCTCGAAGAAATCTCAAGCGGTATGTGGGCCAGGCTCACCCGTGGAAAGACCCCAGAAACATCCTGGTAGGGAGGATCACCTTGGTTTCCCCAGGAATGTCGAAAAATCATGCCGACGGCAATATCTCGTGGTCAGCGCTGCCCGTGGCACACGCGACACTGGCACTCGCCGTGGAGGTCCTGTCCATCATCCACAAGGTCACGACTTGCCCTGAACGTGCATATAACGACACACAACAACATTCAGCGCACGCATCCCAGCCCCGACACAGCTTCATCATCATCCAAATACCCTTAACTTATCCAAGCCCTACCACAGTCACACTTTTACGCCTCCATCAATCACCACCATGCAGTTCAAGATCGTTGCGCTCGCTTTCACAGCCCTCACGGGTTTCGTCCATGCCCAACAGCTCTCGGCTGAAACCCTAGCCGGGGCCATCAACTTCATCGCCGACACCTCCCAGGAGACCAGCGATCTCGTCAGGCAGATCACCCCATTCAACCCCGTTGCGTTCGTCAATGCTGTTCCTGTAAGTTGCGGCGCTTGCCCCCTTCTATCATCTCGAACGCCCAGACTCATGACCTGCCGCAGCGCGTCGTCAACAATTTCAAGGCCCTGGCCAACACCGTCGCCTCGAACGCCCTCAAGCTCAAGGGCATCGAAGTGGAGGAGCCTTTCTCCGCGGACGGCCAGGCCCAGGTCTTCGACGCCTTCGTGAACCTGGTCAGGGTCTACAAAAACCTCTTCGACGTCTTGTTTCCCCGCTCCAAGATCATCTCTTCGGTCGGGTTTGGTCCCTCCATCGCTGGCGCCCTTCGCTTTCTCGAGGCTGGCGTCGATACGTTCGCTTTGGGCATCATCAGATTTATTCCCAATCATAGTGAGGTCGCTACCAAGGGTCAGATGGGTCTCAGGCAGCTCTTTGGAGCCGCCCTCGATCGTTTTTAGAGACAGAAAGAACCGAAAGGGACATGGCTCATTGCTGGAGAAGTGGAAAAAACGAAGCGAGAAATACTAGAGGGCTTGGTCCGCAACAGGGGCAGGTTGCACGATTTTGTTGGTATCTTTTTCTGGCTGTGCAGTACAGGGTATCCTGTGGCACAGGGGCTGGCGGCCTCACATGGGGTAAGTTGAGTTCGCTTCTGTGGTAGTAGGTCAAGTAACCACGACCATACTGTCATGTTTTATCGTCTCCGAGCCTTTCCAACAGGGGCTACCGTGACGCGCCCGAGTTGTCGCTGGCGAGGTGCACGAAACTAGGACCACCACATTCGTTTCGACAAGGAGCAGCCGAGTCTCTCGATCCCCAGGGGCAATCAGTATTCAGGCTTGCCCACCATGGCAAACCTGGAGCCTTGGTTAAGGATGTGAGCCAAGATGGGGACCCGACTTGGTCGATGGAAAGCAGACGGGGGGATGGGAAGTCAACAACGGAGGAAAACTTGCATTTATTGGCCTTCACGACTTAATAGTGTAGTTTTCCAGGACTAGTCAGAAGATTTATTGTATACCTTAGTTTCACTCCGCCTCTCCTGACAAATGATCTCCCACCCTGGCTTCACCTCGCCTATTCGCCAAACCTTGACACCTCGAGGGCCAAGAATCGGTTCCCACCCCGCATCGATCAGTTCGCTGGGGAAGACATTGATCACGTGAGATTTGTTGGACGTGCAGATTACGTGACGGATAACAAAGCCAGCGGGGTAGCCCGGGTATCGTATCAACCCTAACCATAATCCCAGTAACAGAACAACTAATGATGCAATAGAAAGCCATCTAATTACCGCTTCGAGGATAGATTGCTGTCTGTTGGGTAGGGTACCCTGGTCTTCAATCGATCAATTTCCTTTTTATGCTTGGTATCTGTCCAGCGGCCTTCATAAAGAAAGACATGGTGCTCAATTTCGCCGGCCAACTCGATTGGCAACTGATCATCAACCAAAGACAAGACACACGCGGGCCAAACGACAGCACCATGCGCTTCAACGCCCTCGCCCTCCTGCCCCTGCTCGGGTCTGCGCTCGCGCAGCTGCAACCCAACTTCACCTCGAACGCTGGCGTGCAGATTTACAACCCTTCCGACTTTTTCGACACGACAGGGCCTTGGAGCTTGATGTCCCGTGCTGGCGACACTTTGTACATTGCTGGTATGACGCCACTGAAGCCGTGAGAATACTTGAGATTGCACGTGCTAACCTCACCTGCCACCAAAGGTATGCGCGGCATCGTCCCGCTGGACAACAGCCTCGCGCCCGAGGGGCTTCCACGCATTCGCCAAGCCTTCCAGAACATGAAGAAGCTTGCCGAGTTTGCGGACGTGGAGCTCTATGACTGTGTCCGCCTCGTCGTCTACGTGACCGACATGTTCCGGTACCGGCCCTTGGTCAACCAAGTACAGATTGAGCTTTGGGGTACCGACGCGAACAAGTACCCGCCCCGCACGATCATTGAGGTCGATCGCCTCAACCAGGACGACATTGTCGAGGTTGAGGGAACATTCCACATGCCTCGTAAGCACAAATGTTAGAAACCAGCCTGACGATTCGTATGAGGAGACCCTGGGGGCAATGTGGTTGATAAGTTCATCGTCTAATGATGGTTTGTTGGCATGAGAGCGATACTGTCTTTATAGGCGAGCATTTAGAGAATTAATCCGGATGACCATGAGCGACAACCACATGATCCATCAAAGTGAGACATCTCGAGATCGCTCTCTCAGGGGAGACCCTGGGGAGAAGCTGCAAGGCCACGAGGGGAGCTGAACGACGTGGAATGATCAAGAAAAAAGAAAAGAGTAAAAGAGTCATGGAATGGCAGGGTTCCCATTGTTCCGCATGGATCTAGCGTTCTATTGCTTACTGCAACATTTCAGGATTGTCGTTCATCTGTCGGCGGGGCATGAGACGTGCCTTTACTTTCGTCAAGCTGTTCAGCGCGAAACACAATGTGTACCTGAATTGTAGACTGATCGTGAAAGCCTGCCTAGATGATTCGACGACGGCTCTGCCATTGTCACGAGACGCAGTGAAGCGGTGGCGAGCCGGGGAAGTCCCCCGAAATGCTCCTCGTGTTGACCCTGGCGGGCAGGTTCCCTCACCAAAAGCCACACCAGCCATGGCCGCATGCGAACGGATATTCTAAGCTCTTGGTCAGGATTTTGGACATTTTGGGGGATGCTTTGATTGTGTGGCGTGCTTTACTCGTTCCTGCTGAAATGGCCTCCCTTGCGGCCCATCCCGCTGGCCGTTGCATCGCCTCCCATACCAGGCCTGGAGAAGCTTGCTGGACTTGAGCTTGGCCCCTGAACACCGTCACAGCACGCCCACAGACATCGAAGAAAAAGAGTTGTACACGTATACCAAGGATGTGATGACTCGACCCGACATCACGGCTAGCCTCTACGAGTTAGGAAATCCGCGCTTGGCGCCGCTTTTGCGGGCGCAGCGTCAACATCAGGGCTGTCGGTCTGAATGAAGGACAGGGTCCATCCCATGGCGCTAATGTTAGGGGGAAATAAAGTTATCGCTACTGCAAGGGAACACCCCTGTGCAGCCTACCACGAAACCCGGGTCATGGTCCATTGAAGCAACGACCAACCCTTCTTGGTCGCTTGGCGGACGCCCAGAACATGGATAGTCGTCTACTCAAACGATGATCCATCCCACGCTGGAAGGCTTGTTGCAGTCTTCGCATGCACGGGATGGTGGACAGACCGGTGAGCTGAGGGGCAGGCTGCTGCTGCTTCTGGGTCAAGCCCTTAATGCAGTTAATCAAGCGTTGATCAATGCAAAACTCGGCCGCCGGATCCTGGTGAGGTCGCTCGATGAAGAATCTGACCCTGAACGCTGATGAGGAGCCGTGGTCAAAAATAGGGTCAGTATCCGCAAGATCCCCCTCTCGAAGGTTTCCGATCCGTTGTCTGTTCGCATGTTCTATTCTCCTTTGATCAGGTTAGCTAGAGCCTGCTATGCCGATCGGCTTCTTTCGCACCTGGATACTCCCGTCTGAAGATTAGCGATGGCCGAATCAAGACCGATCGACTATGTGATCTCGGTGCCCACATTCATCGGGTCCCTCCTCTCCTTCCTGGGCTCTGCGACGGCCCTAGGATTCCAGATTCTTCGCCCGCCGCGACGACATTTCCGCCATGCTCTTATCATCAACCTGTTGTTGGCAGGCAAGTGAACACTGAGATTCGTAATCGTTGCATCTTCTCATCTAACCTGCAATAGATCTCATCTATGGACTGGGAAACACCATTTCTGGCGCCGTCTTCCTCATCAACGGCCGCACACCAAGTCCGTTCTCCAAGCCGAGCACACTATGTCTCGTCAGTGGCTGGTTTAGTCAGGCGAACGCCCAGCACATTGACTTCAACATTCTCATCATTTCCATTATTGTTCTGTTATCCGTTGTGAAGAAGGATTCCATCGCCGACCTGGATACAAAATGGCAGGTCTTGATCTGCTTCTCGGCATGGCTGCCTGGCTTCACGACCGGTAAGGCAACCTCAAGCACCCCCTCGAACCTCCTGGTATGGCGGAGATGGCTGACTTGTGCCTTCAGGAACCATTGGTCTCGCGCTGAATTCATACGGTTACGTCAGTGGTAACTGGTGCTGGATCAGGAGCAACAGACTCGACTTGCGCTATGGTCTCTCCCACGGCTGGCGCATCGCCATCTTCTTCGTCACGATTGTTATCTACACCTACATCTACATCAAGCTGAAGCGCGTCTTCAGGGGCCTCAGGAGCATGTCCACGGCCACCGGCACACGCAGGAAAACGGATCACATGGTCACGGTGCCCTCTGATCCCGACAACAACGACACGCAGAAGATTCTCGTTGCCCACTCCGTCTCCGTCAGCCACGAGATGCAGAACCTGCCGCGAACACCAGACACGGCGGACCACGAGCACGGCTATAATAACGATCCCGTCACGCAGTCGACGGTCACGGCCACGGGAACCGACAGCAGGCCTTTTGAGGCGTCGCGCATGCCGGCGGCGCCCAATGTCAGGAAGATGCTGCTCATGAACGGATACCCGATAGCGTACATCATTCTGTGGATGCCCGGCATCGCGAACAGGCTGGCGGAGTCGGTTGGAAAGTCTCCGCGATGGCTGAGCGCCATGCAGGCCTCAACCCAGTATATTGGCCTGATCAACGCGTTGACGTACGGCTTGAGCGAGCAGATGCGACAGGGCGTGTGGAAGAAGTTGAAGGATACCGGTGGTGGAAGAAGATGAGTCTGATTTGGACACGATCAGGGGGGCTTTATGAATCACAGATACCTCGACATGTTTTGTTTGATTCTTGTAGTTTATTTCTCGCTTGAATGGGCGGCCTGCTGTGAGGGATTTGGGGATCACAGAGTTTGAAGGGCACACAGCACCGCCATGGATGGTTTGCTTTGTCTCTTCTCGAGAATTCGTCTGTCCGTAGGATCCAGTCCCTGGGCAACTTTGCGCTTCGTAATGTACTATAGTCCAGGAGGAATATTATCTTACTTGTGGAACTGATTGACTTATCTGTACCAAAGTTTGATGGTCGTTCATGGTGGAAATGTCCCATCTCATATGTTCCAGCAGCCAGCTTGAGCTGCATTGAGTTGGAACGCTGATAGTATGCCTCCGTGGTAAACCTCCGGTAGAGCTTTCACTCCAGGGCTTAGGCCCTGATCGTCTCGAGCATTTAAAGCTAAATGTATTTAGCTCTAAGTGACTTACTTAAAACGGTGCTAGCGCACTATTTCGGAAGTACCTCTGAGCCCCTAGTTCTTTACTTAATTAAGAAAATAGTTAGAGACGGTCGGATTAAGGGTTTTCCCTTCCATATTAAGCTTTAACCCTCTCTTCTAATCGTAAATTATAACTAAGTCTATTAGTTCTATACCTCTATTATATAAATTTCTATATATCTATTATAGAATCGAACCCTTTAATTAT